TTTCATGAGAGGGTTTCAAAGAGGGCATTGACTATTGCTCAATGCAAGTTATCATTCTAACAGTCTGTGTTGATACCTGTTGGCCTGAATTTTCTGCTGTGCCAAAGACAGTGTCCTCATTTAAACACTCACCCACCTACATGTTATTGACAAGCTCCATTACCTAAGTTGGTATTTTTAATCTATCAGTATATCTTAACAAGCACTTTGCTTTATGAGCTATCATGTCAATCAGAAATCTTTTTGTTTTCGTGTCCACATAAGCTGACCATGCTCTATCTTTCACTTTTGATATCATTTGATCATCTCATTGTAGATATATTTTTTGCTGTTAGTCTGTGTTGGAGCATTGCCATTTTGTTTCCCCTGTACAATTATCAAGTCCAGAATGCAGAGGAGTATATGTTCTAGTTGTGCTACAACATTAAATCTGCCAAGGTATGGAACTGGTAGTTGATCACATATGGCTGGTGTTAACATTGATCCTGTTCATTGTTGCATCAAATGTTGATGATTTCGTCTGTGAGGTTGGGGAGGGCAGCATGTTCTAAAGTCACATTTCAAATCCCAGCAAAAACTCTCCGATTCCTGTGTGGTGATAGCATGTGAAGCAGTTTAACTCAAATGCTGCTGCATTGTGTTTTATTCAATATGATGGAGGTGTAAAAAAAAAACATTCATTCCAGATCAGCTCCCAGAAGTGATTGGTCTGAGAACAGTGACACTTTCGAAGAAGGCTGTGGCCGCTTTCAAATTAAGCTGATAATTGGTTATGGCTTTAGAACGTGCTGTTTTCTGTGTTGGATCAGACTGTTGAGTAATTAATTCTGTTATTTTGATTCTGATGGTGTGTAATTTTGTCATGGCAACAATCATTTCATTATATTTAGAATAGCAGATGGAGTTTTGGTGGCTTGATTGGTGATGTCAGAAAGAAGTGAGAGTAAAATTTGAATGTTAGAAAGCTGCTTGGGTACCCTGATTTTGGATTATTGTGCATGGTCACTGGAAGTGTAGCTTTTTTCAATAAAGATCAGTGTGTTTGATTCTTTTTGTCCTCATCAGTTACACTTCTGAGACAATACGGTTGGCAAGGTTAAACTTCAGTGTTCTTAGGTTGGCAGTGATTGTTGCATCACTGTTGGGCACAATGCCACTTGTGACAAGTTGCCCTTGTTTATCATGTAACTGATGGTACCTGGAGCTGGAAAACCGTTGCTGTGGTCAATTATTATGGTTCATGGATTTTGTTGAGAGTTCCTTCTATTTGAACTGCTGGAGGTGTGTTCTCCCTGAATGATCTACTTTAATATCATATTTCTTTATTGAAGACTTTCCTTTTGACTGGCTCAGAATGTGAACCTGTGACAGTAATCGTGTAACACTCCAGACTGGTGTCATGGACTGATATGCAACTTTAAAACTGAGAAATAAATTTTAATTCATACATGCAAGAATGCCATAGTCACCAACTGAGACATTTCTCAAATAGGACGTGAAATGGAGTAGTGAAGGCAGAAACAGTTGTTTAAAATATGACTCACTGGTATAATGAAACATTTAAGATATGAGAGTATGGGGCTGGAGGAACTCTGCAGGCCAGGCAGCATCAGAGGAGCCGGAAGTTGATGTTTCGGGTCGGGACCCTTCTTCAGATGCTGCCTGCCCTGCTGTGTTCCTCCAGCTCCATTACATAGATATTCAGAATATTATTAATTCATTGAATCCTATAGTCATAAAGCATGGAAGCAGACCCTTTGGTCCAACTTGTCCATGCTGATTGGGTATCCCAAACTCAACTCGTCTCATTTGCCCGTCACTTTTCGGCCCATTGGCCCATCTGATCATGATTTCTTTGTACTCTTAGATAACCTTCTTTGTTGCACACTACACCACCAATTTTGGTATCTCCCTGTCAAACAAATATATACTTTTGAATACTGCTGGGTCTTTTAGATGAAAATAGCATTGACAGCCAGGTCTACGGCACCATGACTAACCCTGCTGTTCAGAGGGGCATGTCAAGGTCCAAGCAATCGATTTTGTGATAAGGGACTGTTTAGTCAGGGACACAGGTGGGCGTTTCTGTGGTCGTGAGCATGACCGGAGGATGGTGTGTTGCCTCCCTGGTGCTAGGGTCAAAGATGTCTTGAAGCTGTTACAGCAAATTCTTAAACAGGAGAGTGAACAGATTGAGGTTGTTGTACACATTGGTTCCGACAACGTAGGTAGAGGAAGGGATGAGGTTCTACAGGGAGAAAATATGAAATTAGGAAGAAAGTTAAAAAACATTACCTCAAGGGTAGTAATCTCTGGATTACTCTGGGTGCTATTTGCTAGTGAGACTAGGAATAGGAGGATACAGTGAATGAGTGCGTGGCTGAGGAGCTGGTGTAGAAGTGATATTTACAAGACGGCTGGGTTGCACCTGAACTGTAGGGGAACTAATCAGGGAGATTTACGTGCTACTCGGGAGACTTTAAATTGGCAGGGGGTGGGGGTGGGATCCTCAGTGGTAGTGAGAAAAGAGCGAGAAGGTTGAAACTGGTACAGCAATTTGTGGGAGTGAGTTAAATAGACAAGACGGCCAAGGGCATGGTAGAAAACGAGGTGAGACTGAATTCAAATCAATTGATAATGGTGGGTAAGGAATAATTTCTTTTCAATAACACCTTTAAGGTGTTCTGTAGCATTTTATGGCTACATTACATTTAAAAATGAGTCACTGGTTCAGAAAATTCCACAAAGAAGTATAGAAAGTAGGAGCAGGAGTAGGCTATTTGGCCCTTCAGGCCTGCTTCAACATTCAATATGATCATGGCTGATCATCCAACTCCATAATGTGTTCCTTGCTTTCTTCCTCTACCCAATGTCGAGAGCAAAAAGTCCCATATTCCAACCAAGTAATACGAGATTCTCACTTGTGAGCAGTGAAAGACCTATTTGCACACATTATGATCCTCATTATTAAGCCATCTCACCTCACTGATGTGCAATTTCCCATTTTCCCACCTACCAGATCAAAATGAGACAATGACAATTCCCAACATAGAACTCGGAACAGTAACCCGGCAACTTCAGCTCACTGCCTGCTCCTCCGGCCCTCCACCAATCACTAACATCTTAGGGCACGCTCCATGGACAATGGCTACACTCGGCTCCTGTTCACCATGACCTCCAGGTCCCTGCTGGCAAAGTGTAGTGTCAATTTCCCTGTGCCCAACATGCCTGGGACAATTGACAGGAACCGTGCAGGACAACTATGGGCTGCCAGCTCTTTACTGGTGCACAGCTGAGCTTAAATGATGGTGACATTGCCAGGAATCCAGAGAGCTGCCAGTATTGGGCAGCACCTTTGCCTGTGGTGAGTGTAACAATATAATGAGCGGGTTGTCCTGGGGCACAGGTAATGACGTGAGTTTAGGAAGATGGCATGAGAAAACCTGGTAGGGTCTTGTGGAAACAAAACCTCCATGAAACTCACCAAAAATTGACTCTTAGCCAAATTCTGGTTAAAAATTCAGTCCATTGTCCCCTGCATTTATATAATGCCTTTGACACCATGAAACGTACCGATGTATTTCTGAAGAGAGTTATCCATCAAAATTTAACACTCGGCCATATAATGAGCTTACAGAACAAGTTACCAAAAAGTTGGCCGAAGAGGTAGGAAGCTTTGAGTAGTTGGCTAAAAGAGTCAGTAGAAGTGCAGACGTTTAGGAGAGGTATTCCAGAGGTTCAGGCTAGGGCATCTGATACTGACAGCTTTGTCAGGAACTTGGTGATGCAGAAGACAATCAAGTTGGGGGAAAGCAGAGTATTCAGAATATTGTAAATGAAGAGAAGGTTACAGAGCCTGGGAAAGATAAGAGTGTGGAGAAAAGTTCAATGCAGTCCATTTGTGTGTGTGTATATTGTACATACATACTGCAGATGCTGGAAATACAGAAACAATGACAGGAATTGCTGGGAAAACTCCGAAGGTCTGGCAGCATCCGTGGTGAGAAATCAAAGCTAATGTTTCCAGTCCAGTGACCCTTTCTCAGAACCGCAGATGCTGCCAAATGTGCTGAGTTTTATTAACAATCTTATATTTATCACTAATGCACATTTGTCGTTGTGTGTCGAATATGATGGTGTTGGTTTTATGAGTAATGGTGATCACTATCTGACTTTGCCTTTGAGAATGAACTGGCAGAAGCCCAGTGCCGATAATCATAGCTTAATCACATGAAGTAACCTCGGAAGGAATCTGTGACAGGGTCACTTTGTTACAGTCATGTAGCCCGCACGCAACACTGTGGTGATCTAAACAATGACCCATATATACCAGCGAAGCTACTCCCCTGACCCACACCCCTTAGCAATTTTCTATTCCTTTCTCCAAATCTCTCTGAAAGTTGTTTGCTTGAGCTAGGTCTAGCCTGTTTCTTGTCCTGCGCTGCCTTGATCGAGAGGCCGTTCTACATGCTATTTCAGATGTTCAGTTTAATAATGCGAATAAATGCAAAAGACTGCAGATGCTGGAAATCTGAACTGAATGCAGAGAATGCTGGAGAAACTCAGCAGGTCTGGCAGCCTCTGTGGTGAAATTGAGGTAATGTTTTGAGTCCAATATGACTCTCTTTTGGACCTGGAGTTCTATGGAGCAGACTTCAGTTGTGAAGAAGGGAATTAAGGAAACGTTGACTCTGTTTCTGTCTCCACAGATGCTGCCAGACCTGCTGAGTTTCCCCAGCAATTCCTGTGTTGGGTTTCGATAAAGCAATCTGCTCCAGAATTGGGGGCCACTGCTGAGACTTAGCTCAGGCATCTCAGACATGTACCTCCCAGCAGTGACTATGAGCAACAGAGAGGATCCTGTCTGATGTTTTTATTCCCTCCCTACCTTACACAACCAGCAGGTACTGAGGCCAAATGTAGCATCCCAGTTGAAAGTTGCCTTGCAGTTGGAGGAGAAAGGCTGGGTTCTGACTAACTTAGTGACGGGTGTTTTCCAGGGTCTGCTGTCGTGTGATGCTGTGAACTCTGTCTCAGTCATTGGCGTGGACCTTCAGAAGACATTTGCGGATACCAGGCTCCCAAACATCGGTGAGTTAAGGGTCGGATTGCACCTCTTGATTGTAAGTTCTGTGGAGTGAGGCACTTTCAGCCCCAACTCTGCTCTACTTTGTTACCGATTGTATGTTGTGTGAAGTTGAACAGGAATCCGAATTGGGAGAGGAGAGTCACACTTGGCCATGTCTGACACCTCAGACCTGAGAATAGGCTAAATACCCATCCCCTCCCCCAGTAGGGTACCTGCTCTCCCAGCAGGACAGTGCCCACTTTCCCAACAGGACAGTACCCGCTCTTTTAGCAAGACAATGCCTGTTCCCTTGGCAGGGCAATACCTGCCCTCCCAGCAGGACAGTACCCACTGCCCCAGCAAGACAACGGACAAGGCATCTTAGATTGTGCTAAAAATTTCTAATTTCAAAAATAGTATGCAAAAAGAACATTCTTGAGGACAGAGGGAAACACCCACACCCACTGTTCAGTCAGCAATGAAATGCAGTCACTTTCTGAATTTATTTTAATCCAACTCAGTAAGCGGTTTCCTTTTAATCCTTCAGGTTGCTTTCACACACCAGGTGAGTTTGGAGCTTTTTAACTGTGTGCTCAGATCAAAAGAAATCTTTTTAAAATCAAATATGTCTGCTTTTGTCCTCCATACATCAGCAACTTCACTCTCTGCTATGGAGTGGACTGTTGACTCTGTATTGGAATTCCTGAAGAATGATTAGGAAACAAAGGACAGGGAAAGGAAGGAGAAAGAAGATATTGAATAGAGTAAATCTTGCTTTTTTTTTGGGACTTCACTGACAGCTTGTCTCATTGCTAGCTGCAGCTCTGGCTGTGCTCAGAAACATCTGATATAGTGACTTGCTGCATTTCAGTGTAACCCTTCAACTGTCATGTGTTCAACTTCAACTCTACAATATGGTTTTACTTACAATTATTCATGTTCAGAATTGTTGAGTAATTGCATTTTCTCCTCCTCTCCAAATGTGACTTTACCCCAGGCAGCCACATTGGTTCTGTGGTAAAAGAATTCATACAAAGCCTTAAAAGTGGAACTGTGTTTTTTCTGTTGGTGGGAGGGGAGGAGTGGGTGTCAGGTGATCTCCTAAACCTGCAGTATGGTGGGCAAGAATCACATGCCGATTGTTAGGCACAATTGCCCGCCATATTAGTAAAGGCCTGAAACTGATCTGAGTCCCCATACCTGGACAGACTTAGTGCCTTTTGACTGTCCAAATAAGTCACCTGTTTGACAGCCGCACAGCAGGGTCTTGAGCCTTCTAGTGCCAGGAACAGCTGCATTCTCATGAACCAGCTCCTGATATTAAAATATACTTCCTCATTGGTCACGAATTTGGCCATCTCAGTAATTTGTTTTTTTCATAATGTAGTAGCCAAACCCCCTCCCTTACTCATACGTCTCCCGACCAGCCCTTCCCCATTCACTGCAAGGGCCACAGTTACTTCGTACAAACCTGATCATTGATATCACTTTGCATGGATTGATGGGAATGAGACTCAAGTCCCAGTATTGAGTGGGTCTCAGCCATCCAGACACAGAAATCCCAGTCAGTGTATCTATAGAGACTTAACTACAACATGAAACATACTGTGAATTCTAGCATAACTTATGCGAACATTAAAATTTTCACAGCTCAATGAGAGAAGTTTTTTTCTAAATGACAGAGCTTCTTGTGATGTTGCAGCTGGAAAGGCATTTACCAAATCCATAGCCTGGCTGGATTGGAAAGGGTGCATTTGCCAATGTTTTAAGAATCTGGGCCAGTGTTATTCTGATGTGTGCACCATGCACGCTGCAAGTGCACTCACAGTTAATCTGAACAACGTGCTACATCTTGTATTCTTTTTGTAGGATTACTTAAAACATAAACTAAGATGAGCATTTCTTGTAAAATCACTTCACAGTATATAAAATGGCATTAAGAAGCAATGTATTTTTTCTGAAGAAAGAAACCTTTTAAAGGTCATCTGTTACTGATGGTTTAATGAGTTTCATTCCGGAACCTTCTTGGGGAATGGGGCCTTGATGGTGGTTCTGCTGGCTTTAATATAGGGGTGTGTGAGTAATGGGAATGGACACTGAGGGGACCAGCTGGAGCCAGCATTTAATTTGTAATCCTGATTAACCTGATAACAACATCCCCTACTCTGTTCTTTATTCTGGAGTTAGCTAATGTGCCCTACACTGTTTACTTGGAAGTGCGTTGTGCATCATTACATTTGGAGTTTAACTCCCTGCCAGATAGCTGCCCCACCATTTCTACTGCAAGTTAGGCTTCAATCTTTTTAATTTTTAATGAGCCCAAATAGATCAACTCAAACGCTCTATTAGATACCAATTTTTACTCTTCCTTGAAGCCTCTTTGCTTTTCCCATTTTTCTGGGTGCTGTGACTTTAAATCACCAGCTTGCTGAATCCAAATTTTAGCTATTGTGGTACAGTAATCCCTGCCCCTGGCCCAGAACATCATTGTCCAAGTCCTACCTGCACCAGATATGTCTCAGAACATATCCAAACAGAGAGATTGAAAATACTCACTGAATCCAAATTCTCTCTCAAACCAATCAGTTAGGATTCCTATTCCTATATGCCATCCTGATCAGCTGGTAACTTGTGAAATTAGGTTCTCTATTTTTCTCACTATGCTGGACTCTTCTCTTTATATGCCATATTATTGTCCAGGATCACCCAGGAACCACAATTGGTTGAGATCTAGGGCATCACAAGTGCCCTGTGAATCATTACCCTAGCAAGAAAGGAAGAATGTGTGAGGAAGATGAAGAATAATGGAGACTAAAACTGCTTCTAAAAGAAAACCCCAGTCCCACAGTGACAGAGAGCTCAATAAATTAATATTTTTCTGATTGGGAAATGGAAGGCCTGTAAGAAACTACCAGAGACCGAGTTAATTAGAAAGCAGTCATTAGATAACAAGCTCCAAGGATTATAGGGTAAAGAGAAGATGAGGCAAGTGAGGTGCTGCCAAATTTTGTGATCCTTGTAAAGAAAAATCAGGAAACTGTGTGGTGAAATTTGGGGTCAACGCTGTGAAGTCATATAGAGGAGGAGGAGAAAACTGGCATTTTTGGCACAAGGGATAAGAGAGAAAACTGAGAGGAGTCCTGGCTGTAGTCAAATGACACAGTCAAGAAAGATGGCAGCTTGAGACTTGTATTAGGAACAACAACAAAGTTGCTGGAAAAGCTCAGCAGGTCTGGCAGCATCTGTGAAGGAGAAAACAGAGTTAACGTTTTGGGTCCGGTGACCCTTCCTCGGAACTGGTACTCTTGAGACTTGTATTCTTTGTCAAAACTGTGGGATCTCCTTTTATGTCTCTACTGGAGCTGTTTCCTTTCAAACTTTCTCATCCATGATGTTGTGAAGGCCATGACCTTGAATCCATCTGATTGGTGAGTAATAAATGCATTCATTGGAGAGACTGTTGATGTCCCTCCAAATTCCTAGAACATGACACACTGTGCATTGCATACCAACTGCACTCCATTCAACTTTGAAAAGTGAACAGATTGATATCTTGTAACTTTGAAACTCATAGTGTGGTCAGGAGCTGAGGCAAGCCCTGGCTTTGCTCCCAGGCCCTCCGATTGAATATGTATTGTAGGTATGAATTAATTCCAGACTTGGCAAAACACAACACAACACCATAGCTGTTGCTGCTGAGAGCAAGTTCTGTGCATCTAGGTGCAACAGCAAAGGACTGGGTCAAAGGGTGTGGAACTAGATCCTATGCAAACACTGTCTAAATGTATATTGGCTGCCCCTTGATTCAAGGATGACCTACTCAGGGTTGTGAAGAGAGTCTGATCTACTTTAAATCACCCAGGACTCAGTGTTACCTATAAAATGATAGTTATTAAGGTAGAGACTGACAGAAACAAGATGAATATTCTCTTCAAAAGCAAAAACAGAAATTTCTGGAAAAGCTCAGCAGGTCTGGCAGCATCTTTGGAGAGAAATCAGAGTTACCGTTGCAGGTCGAGTGACCTTTCCTCCGAAAAGTATATATGAGTATCCTCTTGGTGAGTTTAACCAGTGAAGCGGGGCGGCACGGTGGCTCAGTGGTTAGCACTGATGCCTCACAGCACCAGGGACCCGGGTTCGATTCCAGCCTCGGGCGACTATCTATGTGGAGTTTGCACATTCTCCCCATGTCTGTGTGGGTTTCCTCCGGGTGCTCTGGTTTCCTCCCACAGTCCAAAGATGTGCAGGCTAGGTGGATTGGCCATGCTAAATTGCCCGTAGTGTTCAAGGGTGTGTGGGTTATAGGGGGATGGGTCTGGGTGGGATGCTGCAAGGTTCACTTGTTGGGCCGAAGGGCCTGTTTCCACACTGTAGGGATTCTATGAATCAGCTTCACAGCTCAGCTAACCAACTTACTGAATGTGAGGTCTTGCCAAGCATTTTGAAGGTGCTGTTGCTTGCACATGATTATGTTGCATTCCAGTATCAATGCATATTGATGACTTGCATTCATACAGACTGAGGCCGGAGGAGGAACAGATATGTGTTTTCTTTTGTTCCCTTTCCGCTGCTGCCACCTGTTTTTCAGCAGGTTGAGGGGATGTTCTGTAGTATCGATTCGCTCTCATTTGCATCCTCACTGCCATGTTGTTGCAAGACCCAACCTTAGATGGGCAAGTTTGCCAGTGTGCAGATTAGATGGATTAGCCATGCTAAATTGGTCTGTAGTGTCCATGGATGTGTGGGTGGATTAGTCATGGCAATTGTGGGGTTATAGAGAATGGGATTGTTGTGGTGGGTGCTAAGTCAGGGTAGAATGCTCTTCAGAAGAGTGGTGCAGAATTGATGGACAAATGGCCTCTTTCCACACTGTAGAGATTCTATGACGATATCTATGACTTCTATAACTTAATGATGCGCATGGCTTTGAGCAAAACATTGTCGATAGGTCAAGGGAAAAGGAACTTCGTTTACATTATCAGGGAGGGATGAGAATATGTTGAAATTCTTTCATTTTGTGGCT